GGGAGTAGAAAGCCTCATCTTTCTCCCGCGGAGCGGCTGGTAGTTTCGAACGGCTGACCTTAAGGTTCACAGCCCGATTCGTAACCACTACGCTACCATACTAGTATGGTACATACTAGTATGTGTGTGAATCATACGTAATCTATTTATTATCTGTTTTGCTAAATTGTCCCTCTTAAAGAAATAATTACAGGAGTTTTCTAAACACATTCCTCCCCACCTTCAACTACAAAAGCTGTTTTTGAGTTCATATGAAAAAATAAAGAATGATGATTTTAGGGGAAATTTCTGAAAGTGAACCATAGAGGTAAGGAGGGGGCAGTTGGAGAGATCCCCCTTTACCTAATATTGGTGTCATTCTTTTTATAATTACTGAGGTTTTATAGCATGCTTTAAAATAGAATGGAATTAATTGCTCTTTTAGACCTGGTAGAGGATAAGCACTGAACTGGTAACCAGCAGGTTGGCAGTTCAAACCCACCACCTGCTTTTGGAAACCCTATGAATCAGAACCAACTTGACAGCACCCAACAACATACTACTTTAACAAACACTATCAACCTCGGAAACCCTGTACAGGGTCGCTATGGGTCGGAACCGACTCAACGGCACGTAACAACAACAACAATCATTCTTTTACTGTGGTTTCTTAGATACTTGTCTTAAGTGATCTCTAGAATTAGCTTTTAAAACACCAGTGTTTTTTTGTTTTTGTTTTTTAAGGAATTACATTAAGCTTTCATTTTCAACGTAGTGTCATTATGAAGATACCTCACAAGTTGATTCCTAAGGGAAAGTGCAAAGGAGAAGCTGCAGCTTTTGAAATTTTCATTGGACTGACGTAAAAACTTTTTCTTTCAGGAAAGTGACTATTTCACACCACAGGGAGAGTTCCGTGTAGACAAAGCAGGATCCCCCACTTTGTTGAATTGCCTTATGTATAAAATGTCATACTACAGATTTGGAGAAATGCAGGTTAGTTAAATCTGGTTTTTGTGTGTTTTATTGTAATAAATATTCAGAAGAGTATTTTAAAAATCTTGTTTGCCACTAAAAAATACAGGGCAGTGATGTTTTTAACTGTGTTGTCTAGAGAAAAGTGCTCATTTGAAGATTATTGTTGTATTTCATTAAATTTACATCTCTAAAACTTTTGTGTGAACAATTAAGGAATAAAAATGAACTCTTAAATGCTTCTTTCCAAAATATTAGGCTAAAATTCTATCTTTGCTTACCATCCTCTTTAGTGTTTCCCATGTTTATTCATATGGATGTTAGACTAATGACTGGATTTCTAAGATTCTATCTCTTAGATTCTATGACACTTCGATTATATTGCACAGTCGTATTATTATGTTTTATGAAAACTACAAAATTTTTAAAATTTTTTCTAGTTATCCTAAAAGCCAGTGTAAGCATTGCTGGTTTACTTTTATACCATCACTGGAGATTAGATAACTGTCCAGACTTAGAGGTTTTGTTTGAGCCTCATTTTATCTTTTTGTAGAATACAATCATGGTGGCTGATAAGGGCTAAAACATTCCATTGGTTTCATTCTCTTCATTTTGAGTTGTGCCCCATCAACAAATGAAGGTCCCACAGGCTTTACTCCATTTGCATCATCACAATCAACTCTACTTTGAGGAGGCAGCTCTTCCCAATCACATTTTGAGTGCCTGCCAACCTGACAGGCTCATTTTCTGGCACTATTATCTGACAGTGTTTCTCTGTTATTCATAAAGTTTTCAGTGACTTAATATTCAGAAGTAGTTCGTCGCTCTTCCTAGTCTGTCTTTGTCTGGAAGCTCATCTGAAACCTGTCCACTATGGGTGACCCTGCTGGTATTTAAATACCGGTGACATAGTTTTCAGAATCACAGCAACTCACAAGCCATCACAGTAAGACAAACTGACAGACGAGTGGTGGAAGTGATTGGAAGAGATCCGTATTTGTGCCCATTCCAAAGAGAGGTGACCCAATGAAATGCGGAAATCATTGCACAATCTCTCTGATATCCCATGCAAGTAAAGTTGTACTAAAGTTAATACAGAAACGGCTGCAAGCATACATTGACAGAGAACTAAGCTGGATTTAGAAGAGGCCATGGAACGTGGGATATCATTGCTGATGTCCAGTGGATCTTGGTTGAAAGCAGAGAATATCAGAAAAATGTTTACCTGTGCTTTATTGACTACGCATAGGCTTTCGATTGTGTGGATCATGACAAGCTATGGACAATGTTGCAAAGTATGAATATTCCTGAACACTTAATTGTGCTCATGAGGAATCTGTACCTGGATCAAGAGACAGTTGTTTGAACAGAACATGGGGAAACTGAATGATTTAAAATTAAGAAAGGTGTGCGACAAGGTTGTATTCTTTCACCATTCTTATTCAACCTGTAGGCTGAGCAAATAATCCGAGAAGCTAGGTTCTATGAAGAAAAACATGGCATCAGGATTGGAGGAAGACTCATTAACAACCTGCGATATGCAGATGATTCGACCTTGCTTGTTGAAAGTGAAGAGGACTTAAAACATTTACTGATGAGAATGAAAGAGCACAGCCTTCAGTATGGATTACATCTCAATGTAAAGAAAACAAAAATCCTCACCACTAGACCAATAAACAACATTATCAACGGAGAAAATATTGAAGTTGTCAAGGACTTCATTCTTCTTGGATCAACTATCAGCACTAACGGAAGCAGCAGTCAAGAAATCAAATAACATATTGCGTTAGGCAAATCTGCTGCACAAGACCTTTTTAAAGTTGAAGTGCAAAGATGTCAGCTTGAAGACTTAAGGTGTGCCTGACCCAAGCCATGGTGTTTTCAGTAACCTCATATGTATGCGAAAGCTGGACAGTGTTTAAGGAAGACCGTAGAAGAATTGATGCTTTTGAGTTATAGTGTTGGAGGAGAATATTTAAAGTGCCATCGGCTGCCAAAATAACCAATAGATCCGTTTTGGAAGCATTGCATCCAGAGTGCTCCTTGGAGTCCAGGATGGCCAAACTTTGTCTCTCATACTTTGGACATATTGTCAGGAGGGAGCAGTCACTGGAATAAAAGCTTAAACAAACAAAAATAACTCTATGGAGCAGAGTTCTAGTCTGAAACATGGGGTCACCATTATTTAGAATCAATTCAGTGACAACTGTTTTTATTAGCAGTTTGTAAGAACCATTTGTGCTAGTTTAGTGACAGAGGGTTAGCATTTACTACCTTTCAATGCTGAATGTTTTCTGATGTACTTCTAATTCTAATCTCACTTTTGCAGCTGGATTTTCGCACACCCCCAGGTTTTGACCGAACACGTAATGCTGAGATTGGAAACAAGGACATTAAATTCAAGCATTTGGAGGAAGCCTTTACATCAGAACATTGGCTTGTTAGAATATATAAAGTGAAACCACCTGATAACAGGGAGGCATTAGACCACAAACCTAGAGTTACTAACATTATCCCAAAACAGAAGTATTTGTCAAAGAAGGTGAGTGCCAAGTGAAGTCTTTTCTATAAAGGGGTGAAATCAATGTTGGTTTGTTCATGTGAAAAATTATTATTAAAATTTTTTAATAGATTTTAATTTGCCAGATTCATAAGACTATGACTCAACAACACATAACAAGGCCTATATGGAATCGTGGTATGGTGCTATAGGATAAGCACTGGACTACTAACTAGAAGGTCAACAGTTCAAGCCCACCATCCATTCCTTGGAAACTGTACACAGGGTTGTTAGGAGTTAGAATCGACTTCATGGCACTTACCAACAAGTCCTCTATACAAAGTAGATAACGGAGTATTTCATATATCCCAAGATGCAGATTTTTCTGGATAGCCTAATGGCTATCAGTGAAGTAAACATTTTCTAAGATAAGCTCTACGGAAAAATTTAGGCTTTTGGTGTGTGCCATTTTCATTATCAAGACTCATTCCTAAAGTACGATATATCTGGCATCACTTTCTGAACCTCGTGAAAATAAAAATGTCTAATATTTCAGTAATAGAATTGTGTTTGATTCTCTCATCTTTTCTGTCCAAGCATGTATATTTTCCATTTCCCAGTTCCCGTCTTAGCAGAATGTTACTGTATTATTTCTTGAGTAGAGATTAGGTTTAAGTCGAGTGAGTCCTTTTGAAGCCCTCAGGATTATCATTTTTAAAAGTAATTACCATGATAAAAATTGTAGGTTGGAATTATAATTGATGAGACTATTGCAGTTCTTTTGTAATAAGTATTTAATATTGAAATATTTTATTGATGTCATAATTGCTCACTTTAATAGATGCTATAAAAACTGCTGAAAAGACATGTTTATATAGATTGTCCATTTGTGGAAGATGGTAATCAATTAGCATTCAGTTGACGTATTAAGGTTGTATCATATAAGGTCCTATCCATTGAAGGACTGATTTTAGGTTTGAAAGAGTTTAAAATTAGTGTCTTAGTTTCTTTATGCTTTTGTAGCAAACACTACAAGTGTACATCTTTAATGAACAGAATTTTTTTTTTACAGACTAGGTGGCTTGGAGTCCAAATTCAGTGCACTGTCTCTAAGGGAAACCTTTCTCTTTCTGTAGGTTTTAGAAGAAATCCTGGTCTTGACTTCTGTAGCTCCATTGTTACTCGGTTCCTTGGCAGTCGCCACTCCGCATCCCTTTCCCCCATTTGTGCCTTCCTTCTCTCTGTATCTAATCTGCTCTTTTATATCTCAGAATTAAGTTGGAGGCATACTTACACTGACATGTCCTCATTAATATAACACAGAAACACTTATTTCCAAATGCGATTATACCCCTAGTTTTCGGGATTAGGATTCCAGCGCATATTTTGGAAAGACACAATACAGTCCATAATACTTAGGTCTATATAGTATGGATCAGTTATTTTAAATCATTGAAGTAATTGTCCTTTTGTGTTATTTAAAATATGTTTCAGATATGTTCAGAATACAGATATTGTTCATTTGTACTATGTTAGGGAACATTGGTAGAGTAGTGGATTATTCATTGGTCTGCTGTCTGCTATCTGAAAGATCAGTAGTTCGAATCTACCAGCCCTTTGTAGGAAAAGGATGAGGCTTTTTGCTCCCATAAAGATTTACAGCCTCGGAAACCCTATACAGGGTTACTATGAGTTGGAACCGACTCATCAGCACTTAACAGCAACAATTATACAATAGTGTGAACATTAGCTGTGTCAACAGAAACTATTTTTAAATGAATACCTTCTATGCCAGTTACTGTTATTGTGTCTATTGGAAGCTATTCACAGGTGTCACATAGAGTTGATGCTCACTATGTTGTTATTGTCATTTCCAGCTTATCATAATCCTGTATAGGGTTTCTGAGGATCTAAATCTTTGCAGGAGCAGAAAGCTTCATCTTTCTCACATGAAATGACTGCTGGGCTCAATACTTCTGACCTTATGGCCTATAGTCCAGTGCTTATCCTACAGAGCCACCACACTCCTAGTCACTGTGTTAGTCATATCAAGACTGGGTATTTTTGAATGAAGACTTATTTTTGATTCAAATACTTGTTTCAGAATCACTTAGTTTTTATATCAGCTAAATTAAGGTGGTGTCTCATAGGCATATGGTAAACAATGGTAGACATCAACGCAGAAGTCAAAGCAAATGCTGCTAGTTTTAAATAGTTTTCTAGTGCAGCTATAAGAGAAATCTACAAGTGGATGATTCTAAGCTAAAATCTAGTCTCTCACAATTTATTTGGATAGAAGTGTGAATTCAGGATACCATTTCCAGAGGAAGACTTTTTCTTTCTGAGACTGTTCTGGGGGAAAGGTCCTTGGCATCAATCTTTCCCTACAACTAGGAACTTCCCAGTTCAGGGATCCTGGGTCCCCAAAGTACTGTAAAAGATTATGCAGGCCACGCTCCAGGGAAATGCACCTTAGATCAGATCAGGGTTGACAGCATCATTTGGTTTGACTACATCATCACATAACTGCCACACCACTGAGAATCATGGCCCACCTATGCTGACATAGCCAAATTGAATGTCCTAAGACATTCAAGCCGAGTTAACATCTTTTTTTAACTTTTAAAAGGTTTTTTAAACCTTTTAAAAAAAAAAAAAAAATGGGACTTTTAGAGTTTACAAAGAACTGATCCAGAGATTCCAGAGGCAATAAATTTTCTTAATTTGAACTTTTTTCTCTTCCCATTTTTTCCCCAGATAAAAAAATGAATGGAAAAATAAAAATTAGTGTCTTCTGTACCTCATATATTCTAGCTAATAACGAACGTGACTTCTGAACTTCTGTATCCCTGAGTATATATTCCATTTATACTAGCAGTAAAAAAAATAACTTTTTTGTTGTTGTTTACTTTCATCCTCCATGTCAATATTGAATTTAGGGGAATGGGAGGAGCACAGCAGTCATTTTGAGAGTTTTCTGTTTACACTGTAGAGGAGCTAGGATTGATAGTTTGGGGCTGCAGAAAAGACATACTGGCAAGACTCACCACTAATACTCTTCCAGAACTCAGACAGACATATAAGGGGACTTCAAAAAGTTCATGGAAAAATGGAATTAAAAGACATGGATTTTTTCCAAAAACTTTAAGCCCCTTCATACTTCAGAACACTGAAGTTCTGTAACTGTATGCATTAATATAATACTGAGCTAATAAGGTAACATACTATAGTTAATAAATTAGCTGTAACTGATCTGTTAAATTCAGGAAATGTTGCTTGGGTTTTTCCTTTTTTAATGTAATCATTTGAAGTACTATTTTCTTACCCAAAAGATCATTATTGGTGAATGTGCCAAGTAATTTTACTTCTCTTTCAGTACTTCTCTTTCAGTCTGTCATCCTCATTTTACAGATAGGGGTACTGGGACTCCAGAAGTGATGAAGTTAACTTATGTTTCTGACACAGAGTTCCTTGGAAGCTGAATCAGGAGCAGCTTTATGTTTTCATTCTAATTCCTCAGTCTAGTGTTATATTCTGTTGAGCCTAGAAATCTGAGTTCTTATTGTTGTTAAGTGCTGTCGAGTCAATTCTGACCCATAGCGACCTTGTATAGGGCTTTAAAGGAGCGAGTGGTGAGCTTGAACTGCCAACCTTGTAATCCAAACGACTTTGCAGTCTGAGTTCTTATTACAACTAATCATTTAGTGGTTAAGGGGAAATGTAGACTTCATTGGCTTGATGATAAGGAACTTAATGATATGCATTTGTGGAATGCTCTAGTAGTTCTTTCGTCTTTTTAATCTGTAAGAAAGCTAGCTGCATTAATGTCATGTCTTCTGTTTTCTTTTTAGACGACCAAAAGGAAGCGTGGCTACATTAAAAATAAGCTAACGTTTAAGAAAGGCAAGAAAATATCCAAGAAGACTGTTTAAATACACTGTTCTGGTTCCTAACTTGAAGCAGTTGTCCTTGTAAGAACCGGTCTTTGCCTTTAGCTCATGTCATGTTTCACAGCAACAGAGGGTACAGAACCATCACTGGTCCAGGTTAATGTACAAATTTTTTCTGACAATGCCTAATTTTAAAAAATAAAATTGGCTTATTGAGAACAGCTGTTTTCTGATTTGTAATGTGAAGCAAGACAGAGCACTGCTGTAAATGTCTAGCAGCAGATTTTTTTTATTGGTACATATTATCCTTCAAATATGAGAATTTGGACTAATTGCACCAAAGAACCCTCTAATTTGGTCCCCTGGCACATGCATACTTGTCAATGTTTTTATTCGTTCACAAGACCTGCATTTCATTTGAATTACCCGAATAGCAATATGTAAATTAAAAATGACAGCGTATGATGAGAACTTCTTGAACCAGTAAACTAGGACAGGCCTGAGAAAAGAGGTATTAGAAAAATAATTATACTTCCTTGAAATATATTTATTTTCATGTTTCTCCAGTGCAAAGAATGTTTCATCAAATACACATTTTCTGTTACTTATTTTGACTCTGTCTGAAATGAAGCTGCTGTTTCAAAGATGGACCTCTGAGTATCTTATTAATTCAAATAGTATTTTTATGTTGACACATTGTTGCTGCTGTTAGCAGTTGTTTTCACCAGGTACTTAACAGAGCAGATGTCATTCATTGTTCATTCAAGGGCTAAATTTATATCCTTTGAAAATCATGGCACCAGAACAGAATGTTGCTTACCAGGATGGAGTTCTATATCTTCATACTGAGTTTAGCACTATGTTTACATGTAAAAGTTTTAAAGAGAAACCCTTAAAGTTGACAGGTATCCAAAGTTCATTTTCTGTGACTCTTCAACATGACAAAGGATTTCTTTCATGTTTTAAAAAGTTTTATCCATCACAATGATTTTGTTCTCTGCTCCATGTTTTTTAATCCCTTAAACATTTGATGAAACACTCTTTAGAGCTATATGCATTTTCTTACTTTTATTAAAGGTGTGACAATTGTCCAAAAAAATGCACTAAAATATAAATGGAGGTTGAACATGTTCACTTTCCAACTTATAGGGAACTTTATACAGACTTGAAATTTTTCTCCAGTTGTTTAGTAAAAGTGAAAGAGAAAGGGTTTTTCCTGCTGCAGGATATAACTTTTTTTTTATATATATAATAAGCATAACTTACACCACTGCTTTTGGTGGAGAAGTGCAGAATAGTATGTACCTTTTATGAAGAAAAATGTAATTTACAATGTTCCGTGAGAATGTTACTGCTGATTTTCTTTTCCAAGGTGTAGAATATTCTTTGATTTATAAAATTCATTTTTGACCCAGATGATGGTTCTTTACAGACCATTAAAATGGCTGTAACATTTTCACAAATAAAGTGTAACTAAATCTGGATTTCTGATACCTTGTCATGAGGGAGGGAGGGGGATTCTATTTTACTTTGTTGCTTTAAAATTCAATGCAGAGAAGTTGTTGACTGTAGGGGAAATAAAGTTAATTCAAATTTTGTGTTAAGTGTTGTCTTTTATAAATCATTTTGTGTTTAAAAGGAGTTATGGGGGGCTGAAAATGTGCCCTCCTCCTTTGTTCACTTTTACAGAAGTTTTTGAGTATATACAGAAAAAAGAAATGTTGAATTAATTCAATTCGAACCAGCTATTTTGCCATTTTAATCTGAGTATGAACATTTTCTTTTGATTTTTTTTTTCTTGGAAGGAAGATTTTATCTCCTAAATTTCAGTGAGAATAATAGGAATCAAACAGCCCTGCTCCTTAAAGTTCTTGTACTAATCGGTATTAAAAATTTCTCAGTATGAGCAGGAAGAATCTCCTTGCCTTTTTAGTTTCAGGAAATACCATTTTACTTCAAAGGATTTTAGCAGTAAAAATATTGTAGCTGTTCAAGTATTTGTAGTTGAATTGTAGCAGAAAATAAAATTATAGTAGTTTGAATACTTGCGATAGACTCACAATATTCTGTAGATCACTATAAATTCTATTTTATGTGATAAGTTAACCCTGTACATCACAGAGTTTAAAAATCATAACTTTAAAATTGTATACTGTAAAACAGCTTTTGTTTTTATTCTGTACTTTAGAATATAGTGCTTTGTAGTATAAATTAAGCAGCTGGGGCAGGAAGTCCAATGCCAAAATGAAGTTTTCAGGTTTATATTGTTGCCTACTTGAGTTTATGGTTGTAGAGTTTAAATTCCTTTTAGTCCCCAAGTCCCAAAGGGCTAGATTGTATACAGGTATTCTATAGAGTGTTACTGTTTAAACCATAAAATCATGGAATTTGGGGTTGCTGCTTTTTGGTGGGAGTCTTTGGGGTAGTGCAAATAATTAACTTAGTCGACTGCTAAATAAAATGTTGTAAGTTTGCATCCACTCAGGCTCCTCAGGAAAAAGAGTTGGCAATCTTCCCCCCAAAAAATAGACCATTAAAAACTAAGTACAGTTCTGCTGTGAGCATATGGATCGTCATGAGTCTGAATCAACTCAGCAGCAGTTGGGTTTGGTTTGGCTTATCTTGGTTTCTTGATGTCGGCTTTATTTTCAGAAATCTGCCATACTGTCTACAACCCTTGAGATAGAATGAGACAATAGATAATAGAAAGTAACTGATAATGAAATGGTCATGCTGTTTAAGCCCTTTTTATTATGAGTGTAACAGAAGAAACTAAAATTGTACAGTGTAGTGAATTTTACCACAAATCAAGCAACTTTATAGCCACAAACCAAGGAAAAAACAGTGCCAGCACCCCACATATCCTTCGTGCCCTTCCTAACCCCATCACTGTCCTCTCCACCCCCCATCACTGTCCTCTCCTACTTTCCCCTCTAAACATCTTTAGTAGTTGCTTACATTTGTTTTATCACCTTAGTATTTCTCCCTAAATGCTTTAATTACACTTAGTCTTTGTATTTTATATAAATAGAATCAGAGTATATAGTCTTCTGTATGTAGTTTCTTGTGCTCAGTATTCTATTTGTGAAATGCAGCCAGATTGCTGGTTCACATTCATTGATCTGTACTATTCTCTTAAATATGTATGTATGCATTCTATTGTTGACATTCTTCTTTGTTTCTAGTTAGAGCATATTAGGAAGAGTGCTGTACGAAATATTTTCTTCTGTCTTGGTTCTTTCACACAAGCATTTTTGTAGATATTTGAATGTGGAATTGCTGAGTGGGATATAAAAGTTTTTGTAGTGGTGGTGGTTGTGTGCTGTTGAGTCGATTCCATCTCATAGCGGCCATGTATTGGGTTTTGAAGACTGTAAATCTTTACAGGAGCAGAAAACCTCTTTTTTTTTTTTTTTGATGGTTCTAACCCATTTTCTAATCAGATTTTGTCAGTCTCTTACTTAGCCTTTCTATTTAGCTGCTCCTCAGAAACCCTATACGGGGTTATTATGAGTTAGAACTGACTTGGCAATACTTAATAACAACTGTGAAAGTCCTGATGTGGCTCTGTAGGATAAGAACTAGACAACAGGTCGGATTAAACCACAGTGTTGGCAGTTCAAACCCATCAATCTCTCCTCAGGAACCGTGTACAGAGTTGCTAAGAGTTGGAACCAACTAGAAGGCATTTAACAACAAAAACTGGGTGGAAATTAATATCTCATTGTTAAATTTGTTTTACTCTGCCATCTTGCCCGGGACTTCAACACATTCTTTACACATTTTTATTGGTCTGTTTTTAGTTAAGTACCATTCACTGGATTGCAACTAATAGTGACCCAGTATTGAGTTTTTAAGGAGCAGCTGGTGGGTTTGAACCACTGATTTTGCAGTTAGCAGTCCATTGCTGTTCTACAGCTCCACACCAGGACTTTGTGAGTTGCATAGAGATTCGTCATTTTGATGTAGACATTTTTCAATCTGTAGTAAGTCTGAAGGTATTTGTTGCAATCTTGGCTTCCCCCAAGACACCCTCAATTCCTACCTGTTTAGGAATTCATGGTTTCCTACTACCTCCTCAGGATCCCCACTCTAAAATTCTAAGTCCCTTATTAGCCTTTTCTATGACCTGCTGGCTACTTATTCAGGGATTCCCATTGTATGACCTGCTGCCTACTTATTCAGGGATTCCCACTGCCTACTTGATTTCCTAATTTGAACATTTTAGAACTCAGGAAAGCACTGTGTTTAGTGAGTTTTAATGTTAAGAGTTACAAATAGGGCTGCCAACTTCAGGGTCAGCAGTACGAAACTACCAGCTGTTCCGCAGGAGAAAGATGAGGTTTTCTGCTCCCGTAAAGATTTACAGCCTCGGAAACCCTGTACCAGGGTTGCTATGAGTCGGAACCGACTCCACGGCACATAACAAATGTAGTATAAAGAATTTACCAACCTACATTTCAACAATCAGAAAGTACCCTGAGTTTTGGTGTAAAATTTTTATTGGTGCTTTATTACATTAGCATGATTAACTCATTACCCTTACTCTGATTTGGCTTAATCTCCTCACTCCCCAGCAGCAACCTGGGGCTGTTGTCACCTGGTGGGTATTTCTAGCCTAGCCAAACCCCACCAAGAGTCACTTAATTAACACCCTGTCAGTTAAATCTGGTCTGACGCGCCTCTAAGTATACAACAAAAGATCCTTTTCTCTATCTAATAGACACTTTTTGATATTTCACCTTCAGGTAATATTTGCTGTAGATATTTACATATCTTTGAATCATATTAAGGACATTTTAAGTTTTCTAAGCTTTTTTTGTGTGTGTGAATGGATTTCATCAAATGTTTTCTCTTCAGTTACTTATATTTTAACAGTGTTGATTAATTTTTTCTTCAGGGTGTTCATTTTGTCTCAATTTCAGATTATTTAAAATGTCTAATGTTTTCATTCCCGAGATTGTCTCTGTTCTTTATGATCTTCTTCCTCCTCCCTTAGCAATTTTGTTCATTTTTATAAAACTAGCTCTCTTGATATTCTTTAGTTCTGCGTATGTGTTTTGGGGAATGGGCTGTTTCTCTTAGTGTGTTGATTTCTTTCCTAATGTGTTAAAGTTAAATATACATGGTTTTGATGGCAGATTAGGGAGAAGGGCTGTGCAGAGCACCGCAGGTAATAACACACTATACCAGATGAAACAGGTTCAAAGGAACAT